CATGCTCTGACAAATTTATGGGCATGGCATTGAATTGTATTCTATTGTACTGCGTCGTTTTTAAAAGTCTTTTTTTGTTAATCTATTTTTTTATGTTGATACAATGCATGAATTTGTCAGTATTGGAAACCCTCCACAAATAAACTAAACCTTACTCTGAAATATTCACTGACGACAGGATACTATGTTTTTTATGTAGTCTTAATTATTGATTTACTGTGACAGGTTCGAGTGGCTGGGCGTCCTCCACTAAAGCTTTCCTGTTCTCACTGTACAACACACGTGGTTACAGTCCCGTCAAGTTACCTGTTGTAAAGAATCACCAGCATGCTATATATAGAGGCAGTGGTTATGGTCCTACATTCGGTCCTCATGACATGTACATATCTAACCAGGCATCAAGTAAGGCTAATAGTTACCTCTATGTGTTCACATACAAAGTTCCACCTGGCTGTAGCCATGGTAACCACTGCTCATTCTACACAGGCAAAAGTCACTTTAAACCCAGTGATGTTGAGGTTTTCTATGAAACCACTAACTAGCAATGAAGCTGTCTGTAACTGCATCAAAAAGGGATTGTAATTATGCTTAGAAAGGTTGCAGYATTTATTCTACAAAAAGTGAAAATGTTTCGTTGAATTAAAAAAATGTCCTTATGCATGATGCTGGATTGAAAAATAATGAAATCACCTCACCTTGACTGCAGTACTTTATTWTATTTTGATTTTGTTTTGTCAGTAATCCATTTCACGGTTTTCCACCGTGGGATCTAGAAATCAAGCTGAGATCATAAAAGGTTTTTGTCATGTTACAATGGAAAACTCATGAAATACATACTGGAATAAAACTGTGATCATCTAGAATTGTATGAAATAGCGATGTGAGATGTAAACAATTTCTCATTAGACGAATTCATTCATTAAGATTCTTTGAGAATTGCGGGAATTTTTTGGATGAATTTCACGTATTATGAAAACATCCGCATATAAAAATACTTGTTTCTGATTGGCTGACTGATTGTGAATTTTCCCAGAATCCATTCTGGAATAATTATTGTCATATACCGTCCTCTTTAAAAAACTGAGGTATGGCACTAAGTGGTGTAAATCCATATAGATGCTACAACCTTTCTGAGCAAATAAACAGAATACTAAAGTGTAGTTCTAGGCTCAATATATCTGAGTGATTTCATGTAACCAAGTAAAAGCACAGCTATAAGATAATGTAATGTAGGGTGATGGTGGTTTAGTCTCAATGAAAACATTGAAAAACTTGTGTTAAGATTAATCCCTGGTCAAAAACTAATATGATATGATAAAGAACACCTTTACTAACACCGAACGGAAAATAGTCCGGCCACTACTGATGATCATGAATGGTCACATTTTTCTCCTCATTCTCAATTATTATATACTTTGTCTTTTCTAAGTTTCTGTCTAGTTCTGCTGACCTTAATATGCAGAACGAAAGACTTTATTTACAAGTTCTTTAGCCCCAAAATTTTTGTCGATCAGACGAATAGTGAACTGAGTTAACATTTCTAAAAATAAATGAGTCCTCTGCGTTTACTAGTGATATTTTTAATACCGAGCTTTCGGCCTAAGCGGCCATTATCAAGGTAGAGTACACGTAAGATTTTAAACAACGCAAAAAACGGAAAGCGCGCGGGGAAACATAGCAATACAGCGCGAGCTAATTGCAATAGATAAAATGTAAAATGGAATGGAATGAAATGAAATGGAGTGAAAAGAAAATAAATGCCAGACTATGACAGTGAAGCAATTAGATATATATATGTAACAAAAAACTTAAATGAACTTAAATAATGGTTTGTAT